ACGGGCACAAGCCATCAGCCCCGACATCGTGCCCCAGCCCCCTCACCTGTATTCAGTGCTCCCCTTCGTGGGGAGGTTGGTGTGACCTGATTCTGACGTGTCACTGTCACAGGAGGTGACACAGGCCTCCCCCCCACCTCTTCGAAGACCCCCCCAGCTGCTTTCCTCCGTGTGTACGTGCACAGAACGGACGCCAGGCTGAAACTCGCTGCAGCGATGTGCTGATACCTGTTTACTGCTTTTGAACAGCACTGGAATGCTTTGCCCCGTGTTTTCAGGCAGGACACAGCGACAGCCAGGCTCTCCATGGGGCTGTAGCTGCCCCACAGTGACCCTTTGCTGACAAAGGCCCTACTAATGAAGTAGTATCAGCTGAGACCCCGGAGGCAGCTCTGCAAGGGGCTGTTTCGACCCAAAACGACAACGTTCCCAACCACAGGGTTTGTGCTCTGAACGCCTCTTACAGCTCTGACTCACCTAATTACTGCTCCTATCGTAATCACCATCGCCCCATTGGGTGGTGGATCTTTTGAAGGTGCCCTTTAATGTTTCATCAGCACCAGCCTCTGCAATAACGAGTGAGTAACAGATCAGGTATAATGTATGCAAGAACTCGTTTTTTTGCTAAAGGAGAGGTGTTTTCTGGACTGGGGACCACTGGCCCCCCTCCCGGGGTGGGCAGCAGCCCCCCCAGCACTGCCTGCTGCGTGAAGGGCCCGTGATAGCACCGTCGGTGCAAGGAGGGGGACACGTTCCAGGGATACTCCCCGTGGCCACACGTGGTGGGGCGGGGGCAGATGCCGTGCAGAGGAGTGAGGAGAGGCAGGGACCTACTCCCTCACTTCAAAACAGGTATTTTAATGACCTTCGCTTTTGGCATGTGGGGAATGATCGTATCCAGGCGGTTTTCACAGAATTTCACTGAGCTCTAAAAAAGCACCGCTTTATTTTATGAGATGTGGCCATAAATTTAAATAGGGAGAAAGAAAGAGTACTCTTCCACTAAGTAATGCTAAAAACACCAGGGGTTCACAGCAGTTGTACAAACTGCTGTGGGACAAACCAAAATCCCCTGGCTGAGTGTCCCCCTGCCAGGAGCAGGATGGGGCGCGGGGTTTTGACACAAGTATTTCTAATTACCAAAGGGCATTTAGAGCAAATGAAACTTTTCACTGGAAATAGGTGGTATTGACAACACTTTCAGTGTGGGTGGAACTGGTACCAGGCATGAATGGCCGAGTTAGTGGAGAAAAAAAGGTCCCGAAGCACCGTGTGCCCTCGTTACAGAGCAAACACTGGGAATCGTTAGCTGGGAATGACTTTTTGTTTAAAACTCTCACTCAATACACTATTAAACTAATAAACAACATCGAGCCCTCATGTTCCAACTAATCTGAATCAAGTTTTCTCAGATTGTTCAGTTCTCAAACACCTAGCTTTTTATGGAAAAAAAAAGCCCATCATTTAAATTTCAGTGGAGAGGAAGCAGTTCCACACTCAGTGTCAGGCAGTGACCCTCGGTGCAGGAGGAGCTGTGCACACCCTGAGAACACCCAGTGCTCTCCCTCCAACAGTCCTACCACAGGGACCGGGTTTCTCCTTTACTATGGGGAAATAATGTTCTATGGGGTTATCTGCTGTTAATAAAATTGCTTGATGATTCTATAATGGAAGATAATTTATAACATGTAATTATGAGAGTGAGTCACGTTCCCCAGATAGATCTTCCATAGCTCTTCTCTGTGCACCAACAGAAGACTCAACTGAATTTTCCTGAGAAGAGGTGACTGCGGCAGGAAGGGTGGGCAAGGGTTCCCCACCAGTGGGGCACAGAGAAGGGCTGGTAATGCCCCGCTCACACCCCCAAAATGTGCAGTTTCTCCCAAACACACCAGGCTGTTATGGCAGAGCTACGACGGAGGTGCCAGGGGAGCTGACAGGAGCTGGCGTGTGCTCAGCCCCATCCCCGTGTCCCCATGCCATCACCTCAGTCCTCCACGGGGACCATTCCAGCCTCACCCCGCGCTGCTGCCACCCCCACGGAGGGAAAGGGCTCTGTCCTGTCCCAGAGCCCACGTTGAGTCCGTGTTACTGTCTGTGTTACTGCAGAGCACAGGGTAATTCTGCCATTTACACTCACATTCCTGCCCGCACCGGGTGAGTCTCAGGTTTAAATAGTCCACCCCCACACACACACCTTGTGGGCAGGAGCCAGTAACAGTTTCATTACAGGAAAAGGGAAGAGGCCCCATTGCAAACAACTATGGTGTCATCTGCCTCCAGGGCATCTTCCTCCTCCTCCTCCTCCACCCCCTCCTCTCTGTGACCTGAAGCCTGTCAATCACACACAGGCAGGTTTGCCTGAGCACCATCAAATGCTCAGCTCTGAGGGTACTTTCTGACTGTACACACTGACTGCACACTCTGACTGCACACTCTGAGGGTACACTCTGACACTACCCTCTGACACGACGCTCCCTGCACTAGTGATGCCCAGTGCAAAAAAAAAGAAAAAAAAACCCTGTTTCAAAAAAAGTCCCATGTTTTCACTATCACCTTGCAGTTTTAAGGAGCTAATCCTCACTCCTGAAGTATATTGCCTGCAGGAATTATAAGGAAAAAATAGCAATAAATCATCCTTTCATGTATTAAACGTGAAGCTGTGAAGTATGTTGCACACGACCATCCTCACTGATACTCAAACCATTCAAACATGTTCTTTTTGTGAACAGGAGACACGAAGCTTAGTCCACCTCAAAGGACTGACTCACACAAAAGACGTAATAAACACCTTTCCATAAAAAAAACCCAACCCCCAAACCGTACCCTTCTGCAGAATTAAACAGAACAACACAGAGATGTATCCATGTCCTTAAAACACGGGTGTGGGCAACTGGAAGCCAACAGCTAAAGGGAATGTAACCCAGTGGTTCCAGGAGCTGTCAGTACAGAAGAGAATTTCGTGCACTTGGAGAGCAAAGGATTTCTCACTGGAACAAGCCAAAATTATGACTCAGCCTCCACTGAGTTTTGGAGTGAACCGTTTCAATTTCTGGAAGCCTGAGAGGGCCTTGTGTCCTGGGAGGTTTCAGGGATGAAGGGCAGCAGGAGCAGAAACCTCAGGTGTGTCCTGCAGCGTGGGAGGGTGTGCTGGGAGGGGTGTTTATAAAAAGATGTTTCCACAAACACTTGCTATGAGCCATAACAAACAAACCTCTAAATGAGCAACAATCAACAGGAGGCAGGAATAACACGGGAAGGGGTGTCACAGGACCAGCCCACGCACCCCGACAGCACCAGCCCCCGATTCCGCAGCCCCCTGTGTCTGGGAAAGGGGGGCAGGAACGAAATGTGGGGTGTTTGAGGCTCAGGTTGCTGTAGGAGCTCAGGAGACCGATACTCAGCCAAACTGCTGTGTATTTGAAAAAGACACAATCTTAGAAGAAGATGCAAAATAGCAAATATCCCCTACGTTCACTCATGCTGTGCCCATGGATAGAAAACAAAACTGAAGGGAAGACGCTGTTTTGATGTACAGCTTATTGACTTAATCCCCAAATCAGGAACTTCACCTTTCTCCTCTGAGTAACTCCCTTATGAGGAGAGACTGAGAGAGCTGGGACTCTTTAGTCTGGAGAAGAGAAGGCTGAGGGGAGACCTTATCAATGCCTACAAGTATCTCAAGGGAGGGTTGAAGGAGGAGGGAGCCAGACTCTTTGCAGTGGTTCCCAGTGAGAGGACGAGGGGCAACAGGCACAAGTTGGAACAGAAGAGGTTCCACTCAAATATGAGGAGAAACTTCTTCACGGTGAGGGTGACAGAGCCCTGGAACAGGCTGCCCAGGGAGGGTGTGGAGTCCCCTTCCTTGGAGATTTTCAAAACCCGCCTGGATGCTCCTGAGTAACATGCTCTGACAAGCTCTGGGCAATCCTGCTTCAGCAGGGGAGTGGGACTAGATGATCTCTATGGTCCCTTCCAACTCTAGAAATTCAGTGAAATTCAGTGAAATTCAGAGTAAGTAGGTTTGTATTTGCACTGCCGATGGCAAACACCCTGACTGACGTTCTGAAACCCCCCCAGGAGGGAGAGCTTTGCCCCCGTATTCACAGACACATCAAGAGAGACTCCCCCAGAGCCAGGATCTCGCCACCATCCCCGTACCCACATCTGGTCTGAGTGCACGAAGAGCTATTCCCTGCAACAACCTGTCACACCTCCTGTCCTTACAGTCTTACACACAGCTATTTTCCAGCTGTTGTCATACAATTGTTCATAATTGAATCGTTACTTATAAAACATAATTGGAGATGTATATTTGCCAATGTTCGCTACGTTTTTATGAGAAATTACGAGGATGTGAGAGCGGTTCCGTGTGCCTGCAAAATACATCCTGCGAGAGGATTTCAAAAGACATGAAGCAATAAAGGACTAAAAATAAGGCGCACACAGCGTAAGATGACCATAAACCAGAACCTATTAAAATATCCCTGAAGCATAAAAAAATCAGCTGGGACTCCTTGACAAATACCCGAAAGGGGAAAGAGCGTGAGGAATGACAACATTAGGATAGAGACGGTACCATTCCTCACTGTCCCATATCAGGAGAGTTTATTGTTGTGCTGAGATGTGAACAGGAGGAGGTGAGTGGGCTGAGTTTAATGCAGATGACTGTTAAGTCAGTGGACTAGATCGCTCCATCTACCTAATTCAGAGCCACCCAACAGAAATTACATGTTTTGTATGAATAAACAAACGGTCGCGAACACTCTGAGTATGGGCTGAGCTTCCTGACACCGTCAAACATCTCCCCTTGGCAAATTATCCCTGGCGTAAAACCTACGGCTCGCACGTGCCCATGGAGAGAAGGTGCTCCCTTGGCGGTGACACCCACTGTCTCAGGTATAAATGCAGCACGGGCAGGGTGGAAGTTGGAGCTATGATTCCACAACAACTGTAGGACCAGCTTTGAGTTTTAACCCGAATCGATCGCTGCCGCCACGATGAGCTGCGGCTCCAAACAGACCTCCAAGAGCTGCCTGCGAGGGAGCAGCGGTGGCAGTGGAGGGGGCAGTCAGCACTCCTCTGTCTCCTCAAGAAGAATCGCTTCCAGCACAAGCGGTGGTGGCAGCATGGCTGGGGGCAGTTGTGGTGGAGGAAGCTCCAGGAGCTGCCATGGTGGAGGAGCCAGCGGTGGTGGCTACGGAAGGATGAGGCGCAGCAGTTACGGAGGGGGAATGAGCGGGGGGTGTTACGGAGGGGGAATGAGCAGTGGGGGCTACGGAGGGGGAATGGGCTGTGGCAGCACCAGCACAGGCTTTGGCTCAGGTGGGAGCGGGTTTGGTGGTGGTTATAGAGGAAGCTTTGGAGGAGCTGGTGGTGGTTTCAGCGGTGGCAGCTTTGGCAGCGGCGGCTTTTACGGAGGGAATGTGGGAATTCTCTCCAACGACGAGAAGCTGACCATGCAGAGCCTCAACGAGCGCCTGGCTTCTTACATGAACACGGTCAGAAATCTGGAGAGGGAAAACGCTCAGCTTGAACAATTAATCAGGGAGTGGTACCAGAAGCAAGGGCCTACTGGTACAAAGGACTACAGCCACTATTACGGCAAAATTGAAGAACTTCAAAATCAGGTAGGAAATTCTTTATTAGAGAAGTTTAAGCATTGACAGACTTTTCTGTCCCTTGTGAAAACCTGATAGATTCACAGGGAAATTGTCCTCAGCGTATCATCTTCTCTTCTAGCTTGTGACTGCGGCTGTGGAAACCAACAGGGTACTCCTGGACCTGGACAACACAAGGATGACTGCAGAAGACTTCAGGATAAAGTAAATATCTATTCCTCTTTTCCAGGCACTCACTTCCTTTCTCCTACTCTCCTCAACTTAGTTTCATAAATTCATACTAGGGCTCCTCCTGGTTTCATGGCAGCACAACTGAAATAATATGTAAGACTTAAAAATTCTTCATTATTTATATAATGATCTTCGATGGGAGCAATCCCAATGGCTGTGGAGTCAAAGCTTAAAATAAGCTTTAATTTTAAGGAAAGAAAAATTGTGATTTTCTCTTGCTGAAAGACGAAACAGATAGATGAAACCTGCACAAAGACTACAGTAAGAAGAGACAAGGGAAAAGGCCACAAAATACATTTTAATATTAAGTTTTAATATTAAACTTTAAATAGTGGCTGCTGATTTGATAATTCTGCTGGCTGAGAGATGCTTCGTGCTGCTAAGTAGAGACACACAAGCAGACACAGAGATACTGGAATGCATGAATGTTTTCAGAAATGAAGTCAGTAGGAGAAGGGCTGAGAGCCCAGCCCGGGGCTGACCGTTCTGCTCTGTCCTGGCGCAGGTACGAGACGGAGCGTGGCCTCCGGCAGAACGTGGAGGCCGACATTAACAGCCTGAGACCCCTGTTGGATAATCTGACCCTGAACAGGTCTGACCTGGAAATGCAATTTGAGTCTCTAAAGGAGGAGATGATTGACCTCAAGAAGAACCATGAGGAGGTAAGAGCCAGCTCCTTGAAAAGCAATCTGCAGAGGAACACAAGAATGTTTATGGTATGGGAAATGTGGGCGGGTTTCACAGGTACCATCCTCTGCACTAAATAGTCTTCTTGGCTCTCCCCATGTGGGGCAGCTCAGCCAAGACCCGGGACAGGCACCGCTGGGCACCATCCATCCCAGTACACAAGGACTGGGGAGCCAAGGCCAAACAATGGCAACAAGAAAAAACCCCAACACACATATATATATGTTATGGAAAGGATCCAGGATGGTTTATGGTGTCAGAGCAAGTAAACGGACTTCAAAAATCTTTCACCAAGTAATTGTGTCATTTTTGTTTATTTGCCTTGTCCCTGGGTTTCCTCTGCAGCAAATGAAATCCCTGCAAACCCAGTCCAACAGTGATGTGAATGTGGAGGTGAACGCTGCTCCAGGAGAGGATCTGCTGAAAAAGCTGAATGATATGAGACAAGAATATGAAAATATTATTAAGAAAAACCGTGAAGAGGTTGAGAGGTGGTATGAAAGCAAGGTAAATGGTTACAGTTTGAACCTTCACATCACAAAAGCAAAACAATACCAACTTTGCTAAGAACGTCCTGTAGATGAATTGCATTTTGAACAACAACAAAACTTCCATTGCTTGTAGGCTATAATGATTGAATCCCTTTGATTAAAATAAAGGAGATCACAAGTGGGCTGGAGACCCACTGGCAGACCCACAGAAGCACATTTAAACACCCCCAAACTACAAGTGGCCCTGCCTCAACTCGTGTTGCCAGATGCTTCCATGATAAACTACCCTGATGAGAGTGTCTGTGAGTTTTCTGACATTGTACGTGAATTTTTCAGATGGAGGAAGTGAGTCAACAAGTCCACTCGAGTGGCCAGGAAGTGGAATCCAGCAACAAACAGATCTCTGTGCTGAGACGGGACTATCAGAGCCTGGAAATTGAGCTGCAGTCGCAGATCAGCATGGTAGGTAACCCCTGCTGCTGACAGGCAAAGGATGCAGGAATTGCTGGGACAGGAGATCACCTAGAGCTCGCACTCTCTTTCATGGAGATGCTTGGCACATGTGACACCATCTCATATTTTTCTCGTTTGGGACATAGGAACCCGCCACATTCCCATAAACACTGTATTATGTCTTTCCTTCTCAGTTACAGTCTTTGCAATCCAACTTGGAAGACACCAAACGTCGCTATAACATGCAGCTGCAGCAGATCCAGAGCATGATCGGCCCCTTGGAGGAGGAGCTGGCCAGTATCCGCTGTGAGATGGAGAGTCAGAACCAGGAGTACAAGATGCTCCTGGGCATCAAGACCCGCCTGGAGCAGGAGATCGCTCAGTACCGGGCTCTGCTGCAGGAGGGACACCATATTAGGTACGTACGTTCAGATTAATTAACATGCCGTCTGTGTCAGCAGATGAAAGTAGGAACATTTGTATTAGGAACTAGTGCAATTGATTTATCATCAACATATTTACTACTATCACAAGAATTCTTACGGAATCTAAATCTTAGCTGGCAGTCTACAAAGCTGTATTATTCTATACTTATCATGAAAACATTCAGAAATGTCACATTCTGAATCGCACAAGGGAGTCAGGAAGTGGTGTGGACACAGCCCGTAGGACACCAGACACTGCCCGTGTTCCTACACATCTCACACCCCCCCCTTTCCTCCTTACAGCACCTCTCAGGGAGGAGCTGGTGGAGGATCCTCAGGAGGAGGAGGTCATGGAGGAAGTACCTGGTCTTCTGGAAGAGGAAGCAGTGGAGGAGGAAGCTGCTGGTCCTCAGGTGGAGGAAGCGGTGGAGGAAAAATTGGAGGATCCTACGGGAGAAGTTCCTCCTCCGGAAGCGGAGGAGGAGGCAGCGGAGGAGGATCAGGAGGTGGATCCTGTGGTAAAACTTCAGGTGGAGGAGGTGGCAGTGGTGGAGGAGGAGGGGGCAAATCCTGCCTCTCCCGCTCTTCATCTTCCCAGTCCCACTCTGGCACCTCTTATGAAAGCCAAGGTAACAACTGGAGTAAAGAGAGTACCTCCTGCCCTTAACCTTTTTCTCTGAACAGCAGGAAAGGACATGACAACTTCCTGCATTATTTGGAAATCTGCAGATATTTCTGTTATTTTTTTCCCAATTGTGTTTTAAGCCACTCTGACATTTGTTCTTAGTAAGTAACACACCAACGTGGTGGTACTTGCACAAGTGACATGAATGGATGGGATGTTACAAGGACTTGTATCAGAGGATGTGTAGAAGGAGGAAATGAAGGGGGAAATGGAAAAATAATGCCCAATCCAAAGCAAACAGGGAACCAGGGAAGTCAGAAGTTTCAGAATGAAGCCAAATGTTAGAAATGTAACTGGTATTAAGAGGGCAAAATGGCTAAAGAAGGTAAAATAGTTGGAATATTATGATGTTTAAAATATAAAGGGTATTAGCTGCAAAATCCTGAAGCAGCAGAAGACGGGGAGTGACCCAAAGGCCTTTTCCATGTCTGATCTCACGGTTGTGGTTCCAGGAGATGCTGGAAACATGAGGCTTTGCCTGGAAGGGAATAAAACACTGGAGAGAGGAGCCACAATGGAGGAGGTGTCCGAAGCCATAAAGACAATAAGACGGGGTAAGGTCTCGGGTCCTGACAGAGCCTCAGATAAATGCCTGAAAATGGTGAAAATTAACAGGAAGTTATAATTTTTAGAAAGATTCTCTTCCACCTCTGATTGTTTACGAAAATAAGGAAAACAATCCTGCTTTGAAGCGTCCACTTATTCCTTCATATCAAGGAAGTAACAGGGATATTAATCGTACTGAAAAGCATAGTCTGTCTCACAACAGGCTGCTTCCCATCGCCGGCTGAGCTGGGATGGAGGTTTTGGCCACAGACCAAAAGCCCTGAAGCCATTGATGCAGGAAGTAAGAGCACTGTCCAGAGACTCTCTTGCTGCTGAGAACAAAGGCAGTGAATTCAAAAGGCTTTTGTGTAACGAGTAAGATTTTTCGGTGAGATTTGGTGTAGATGAGATCTAGTTTTCAAAAATAACAGGCTTTGCAAACTCCTCTGTGAAAACTGGCTGTTTTGATCAAACATCCTGAGTTGCAACTGTCCTATGTATCCTAGTGCTTGGTAGGCAAGATTAAAACACATTATGGACCATCCTACTTGAACTTTTACAAATTGATTTCAATACCCCTGCACACATAAATACAGATTCTGAGTTCATCTGTATTTTCCAGAGTGCTGGGAAAAAGTCTAGTCCACTGAGAACTGCACAGGCTGGAGTTATGAAATAACAAAAAGATGGAAAATGCTGAATGAGATAACACTTCTCCTAACACTTCTTCACAGAAATTCTTGCTTCCCTTCTTCTTTCAACAGGAAGTCTTAAAAGGTCCGAGGAGTGATGGGCAAACCCAGCATCTCCCACTGTGGTACCTTCCCCGTGGGCCTTCGGACCAAGCACGGCTGCACCGAGCGTGTCCCGTCACGTCTCTGCCAGGAGCAAGAGCAAACACCCCCTCAGTTACTCACCGCTGGTCACTCAGGGGACCACCAGATCTCTCCGGGTGTCCTACCTGCTTCTTCCACCTGAATTTCTGTGCCTAATCACTGTTACCCGAGTTAATCTCTACCGTGATTGGTGTTCTTGTGAAAAAAAAAACAAAAAACAAAAAACAACCCTCAAACAAAATAAATGCTAATAAATCTTTGCTTCTCTCTGATGCAACCAGAAAGCCACGTCTGGGAGAAATTTCCTTTAGTGGACGTTTTTGTTTGAGTCAGTTACAGATACCAAGCCCTACCTCTTGGGGAAAGAGGAGGGGGTTTAAGGAACTGATTATTCCCTATAAAGCTTCTTAAAAACCCTCTTCAAACAAAATAAATGCTAATAAATCTTTGCTTCTCTCTGATGCAACCAGAAAGCCACGTCTGGGAGAAATTTCCTTTAGTGGACGTTTTTGTTTGAGTCGGTTACAGATACCAAGCCCTACCTATCAGGGAGGGGGGGGGGTTAAGGAACTGACTATTCCCTATAAAGCTTCTTAAAAACCCTCTTCTTAAGTAGCCACTAAAACACATTATGAAACTCTTTTATCATGGAATGGAAAGTTGGAAATTTTTGGCTCCCGGTGCCAAAACAGCCCTGAGTGCAGAGCTCCCATCACGTACCATTAATTACCCAAAACGAACACGTTTTGAGTGGTACCTGCTTGGGTACAGACCGGGTACCAACTGGATAAAAGCTCAGTAGCAGGATAGCCCTGCTTTGTGGCAGCAGTTATTTGGGACAATACATTCCCAAAGCTGCTGGGAGCCAAACTGCACACACAGGGTCTGACAGATGGAACTCTTTACTGGTGGAAGCCCTGACTCCAGGGCACGTCTCAGGTCTAACTACAGACAGGAATACACTTTGCAAAGCAGACTGACAAATTGTTCATATTCAGGATGTGATTTTACAAAGCTCAGAGGAAGGTTGAGAGAAAAAAAAAAAAAAAAAAAAAAAAAAATATCCCAGAGAAAAGATTCTCCAAGGAATTTTAGGGACTGCCTGGAGATCATACAGCAGAGGGACCGCTCACAGCAGCAAGGGAGGAAAAGATTCTTCAAGGAATTTTAGGGGCTGCCTGGAGATCACATAGCAGAGGGACCGCTCACAGCAGCAAGGGAGCAAATGCCCTAAAAGACAGAGATGGAACTTCTCCTCTTTGATTGAATTATGGCTGTTTCCCTCTTTATGGCCTGGGCGGGTGTTAATGGGCTGGAGGGTTCCTCTATTGAATCCCTCACGGTGCTTTTAGCTTCTGTTGGGGCTAAAGAAAGCGAGGGCTCTGCATAAGCACGACTTCTAGGCAACCCTGCTTCAGCAGGGGAGTTGGACTAGATGATCTCTATGGTCCCTTCCAACTCTAAAAAATTCAGTGAAATTCAGTGAAATTCTACAGACTGAACTGCTGGGCTGAGCTGTTTGGGGAGTTTCACTGGAGGATAAATCAGCAGGTTTCTCCCACGACACCTGTTCTCTAATACCTTCTTTATCCCTTGCACTTCCCCACTCATCCACCAACGCAGAGGGCACCAGAGCAGAGTATCGCTGCCGTGAGTTTCTCTCTCTCTGTTTTACCATCACGAATCTTGTTTTTTCACTCCGAGGAAGGCATCACCCACTGGAGGAGGTTGGGAAACAGACCGAGTGGGAGACCGTGGGAACAGGACTCCTGAGCTCCCGAGTTCCCGGCGGATCTGGGCCGGTGACTCACCGCATCGCTCCGCAGGCTCCCGGCCAACGCGATCAGGGTTTGAAAAGAAAAAAAAAATCTAGGAAGAATTCTTTTTTTCTGACCAGTGTCTCTATGGGGGCCCCATAAACTGGCTGACCTTCATGAAGGATTATTTTACACATGAGCATGGCCTGATGTCTCTGGCCTGACAGGCAAAGGCAGCGTTGATGGAGGAGCTGTCTGTGGTGGAGCTTTCTGCTCTGCACCATCCCAGCAGCTCTGGGCCCCTGGATCCTGCCTTTCTTTCCCAAAGCACAACTCCCTTTTAGCACTTTTACTGCCAGTTCTCTAATTATCTACCATCAAACTCTGCAGAAGCCCCACTGAAACATGCCCTCATGAGAGCAAAGCAGAACGAAACCCGCAGAGTTTGAGGTGCAGGAAGGGGAGCCCCCACGGCCACGGGGCAGCTCCATGGGGAGAAACCAGCCCCACGGCACGAACACTGGGGTGAGGATGCAGCACAGGTCTGCAGCTGCTTCACGTGCTTACGTTGCTGTGTTAGAATCACACCCAGAAATAAGTAAAAATTTCTGAGCAATTGCAATAAATAATATTAATTTTACTACCTTTACTACTCTTTCTTCTTCCGTACCTAAAACCTGTCCCTTTCTCCCCAAGGTGTTCTTCCAACGTTCCTTGCACGACATGAGTCTGCAGCTAGAATGTAAATAAGCTCCGTGATACAGTTTATTTGCTACACGTTACAGCAGGTGACAAAATAAATACAAATCACCAATAAACTTAAAAAAATACCTGCGTAACCATGGCATCAGTGCTCATTACAGACAAAAAGATGGCTCAATGTAGAGGGTTTCTCACCATACCCTGGAAGAAAGAGTCAGTTTAAGTATTCTTTCCTTTTTCCATCTTGTATATATCAAATCTGGTCATTTGCTCCCTGAGAGAGCAGGCTTGTAATAACAACACCGATGCAAAAAAACTTCTGTGGAGGAACAGAGCTTGAAAACCCAAACTGCTGCAAAGCAGGAGTAAGAAATACAGATATAGTCGTGTCAGGTCCCACAGCTCAGGGTGTGCTTAAATAGGACTCCAGTGATATTAAGAGCGGCGAGAAGAACCTCACGCTTTTTTTTTTGCAGCATTTTGTCAGGCATTAATCAGCATAATAAGCTTTAATTTTATGAGCACAAACTTTTGCAATTCGGATACTTATCTGCTGTTCCAATTAGTGCTCTAGAAGAAATTGTGCTACGTGTTGGAACAAGACCTTAGGAACCACCTTGGGCAAAAATAAACGTGCACACACGCTCCTGAGTGTTTGGCTTCGCTGCTCCCAGAGCAGTTCATTGGTCCAGCTGAAGGCATAGGTGTAATTTCAAAATTGCCTATGCATATATTCTGCTGATCTCTCTTTTGTTTAGCATTAATTGTCTGCCCTATTAATTGTCAAACGCTACACAGCTGTATTCATGGGCTCCAGAACTAGCACAGCGCAGTGTGTCATTGCACCACGCGGTTGGGAGGGAAGGAAGGAACTGGCAAATCCCTCTGGAGCCCACTCATCCCAACCCCAACGTCCCAGTGGGGCTTCTTCACCGCTCTGAGGGGGTCACACAGGCTGCTCGGCCAGTCATTGGCTTCAGGTGCTGGGTTTTTGTGATAATAATTCACTCTGTGGACAGTCAAGCAGGGCCCAGATCCTCTTAGTGTTTTCCTGAGGCAGGGCATCAGAATGGCATTAAATTAAGGGGAAATGCTTTCATTTTTCAGCGCAAAGACACAGAAGTGACAATACTTTTTCTCCAGGTCTGTTTCAGATGCAGCAGCTCCAGCCTGGTCCAAAATTCTCCCAAGTCTGTCCTCATCCCCACTCCAGGCCATCACTTTGATACCCGTCACCGGGGCCAGATTAAAGGGAAAGCAGTAACAGGGAGAAGGAAAGAATTCAGCTGTGTTTGAAGCATGGTGTGTGCTGGGCTGACACAGAGCAGCCCCTGGTGTCAGACACTCCAAGACTCTGCAGATGGCTGGGAGATAAATGTCCCCATTCTGGTCCCACCTGGACCCAGCAGTCACAGAGCACAGTGATGCTGTATGGACACAGACCCACTCATGGTTAAACTGTGCATCATATACAGGAAAGAGATGGGAAAAGGTCCTAAAATTGCTGGTAATTTCCTTTTAGGTAATTCCGTAAATTATAAACTTTACATCGTCCATACGACACATTATGGGAACACATCAGAGAACAAAAAATTTTGGAGAGTCTTTAAATGCAGTAATAGCAACACTAAAGACAAAAAAGGAACATCCTGCGAGCACGGGACTTAAAAGCTGCCAAAGATCTAAAGTCAAAATCTTTAATGTGTCTTCCTCCTGTATATATAAGTCATGGGAATAATACAAAACTCCAATGACATGTTGGGGCTATCTGAAGTTCTCCACCCTCAATGGCCTGACTCTGTCTTTTCTTTCTTATTTTTTAAAGTAAAAAAAGAAGAACCTCCCAGTATGGACAAGTCCCTGCTGTGAACAAGTACATATAGAAAAAACCAACCTATAAACAAAATAGGAAACACTGTAGGTTTTCAGAATGTACATAAACAGACTAAGAGACTCTTTTGGCAAATGTTTTTAATAATTCTAGAGACTTTTTTGCTCATCGTCACTAACAAACCCATAGATTGTTCCAGCTCATCTATGAAAAGCATCACCAGAATCGCCGATGGAAATTGGAATGTGATATTCAGTGTCACCTCCTGGAGCAGAATTTGTGAAAAAGGGCCCCTACTGACCAAAAGGACATTGCCCAGACACAAAGGCAAAACAACACTAAAAGGAGAAAGCATTTTTCATTTAGTAAATATACTAAACTACATCTCTCAGCCCCAATAACAGAACAGGCAGAAGCCCAGAAACTGTGTTTACGCTGCAGAGGTGACACAGCCCTCCTCCAGCTGGGAATCCAGGAGGAATTATCCCATCATCAACCTGCTTGAAATCTTTCATCATCTTTGAGCCACTGAGTGTATCGAATAGAAGATAAAATCAGAGCGCTTTGGAAAGAGGTTGCATAAGCAGCAATAAAGCAACGCTGGCAAAAGCAGAGTGCAAAGGACACGACAATGGAGTCAGCCAGAAAATGTTAAATAATCCTTAATTTCACATAAAAAAGACCAAAAGTTAAGAGGCAGAAATAGAGTTTGTGAAAGAATCGTGCACACGGAGACTGTCAGCAGCAATGAGATATAATAATATATATAAGATACAATAAACAGCAGCAACATTCAAACCAACTTCCAAATCCAGGGGAGCTGCTGCTCTGCAATGAACCAGGAGAGGCCCTTGGGAGGACGCAGAGACAAGGACAGCAGTGACAGCAG